AACAGACAGCCTCATCTTTCTTCTGTAGAGCTTCTGGTGGATTTGAGCCACCATAGGCTAACGTTTACCCAACAGCACCATCAGGACTCCAGGGGGTTACCAAGTGGCTTCCAATTACAGCTGTATGAACCCAGAGCAGATTTCCGGGGTGAGAGAAACCCTGGGAGAGTACTCACCTTGCCTTCTGTGTGGCTGCGCACTGCAAAGCAGAAGAGGGTGGAAGGCTTGGCATTCCCCTCGATCAAAAACTCCGCAAAGGCTGCTGCATGGCCTTCTATGGACTGTGACACCTTCTTGTCAACCGAGTAGAGCTGTATCATTCCCACTACACGATTTTGCTGAGAATCAGGTATTGTGTAATGTAAAGGAGAGACAAGACAGGGACATAAGTGACAATAATTCCTCAATCAAGTGTTCTATAAATGAGAGTCCCCTCCATTGATGTATCACCTCCAAGGACCAGTAAGCCTGTTTGCTACTAAGAACCACGCAGGGACTTGGAATTTGAACTGGAAAGATGGCTAAAAGCACTCAGGAAAAAGAGAAGACGATGAAGGGAGAAGCGAGAGAGCCCATCTGTCAATAATACCCAGGTATGTTTCTCTGTCTTTTCATAGAAAATTTGGGGGAGAAAAGACCTCGAAATGTTAGGAGTAGTTAACCTAGGGGGAATGACTTCATTTTGAAATGTTTCTTAGGTGTGTTTTCGAAAGTGATAGTACAAATTGTTTTTAATAAACACCAAGAAAGTGGTAACTTTTCCATCAGTTTATAACTTAAAACTTAAAATCAGATATACTATACATATATACATACTGTGTTCATGGGGTCTTTGTGGTGCTGTAGGGTTAAGTATTGAATGGCTTAGTGCAAGGTCAGCAGTTCAAACCCATCATTCACTTCACTCCAAGAGAGAAAGATGATCCTGTAAAGACTTACGGCCTTGGAAACCCTATATTGGTTGACATGCGTCAGAATCGATCAATGGCAATGGGTTTGTTTTTTGTTTTGTTTGATGGTGCTGCTGGGAAAGTGTCAGGTAAGGGAAGTGGTTCAAACTCACCAGCCTCTCCAAGGCAGAAAGATGAGGCTGTCTGCTTCAGCAAAGATTTACACCCTTGGCAACTTCATATAGAGTCGTTATGAGCTGCAATCGGCTCGATGCAGTGGGTTGGGTTTGGTTGCTTTGTGTTGGGCAGAGGACTGGTACATAAACAGGCTAATATTGCTCTTCGCTTCATTAGAAACACCTACATCCAAACACCCATAGCCAGTGTCAGATGTGCAAAAAGTTAACTCAATGGAACACGACTGTAAGACAGTCCAGTGTCTGTCATTCAACATTCACCCCATCATCTCTGGTCTGTGGGTAAAATTCCGGTCCTCAGTCTACTTCCCACCTACCCTGACACAGTAACTCTTATCTTCTGAAAAGGGTAAAACAAGGGTATCAATCCTTATTTTGGGGGGGAGAGGGTAAATCTCTTATTTATTCATTTATTCATTTAAAAATCATTTTATCAATCCTTTTCTTTTAAGAAGAATTTTTTCTATTGTAATTTTCTATCACACAAAGTTACTACACAAAAACACTGACATGCTACATACAGCATGGCCGGATCTTGAACACAATGTAGTGAGTGGAAGCAGCCAATCACAAAGGACCACAGCCTGTAGGGTTTCCTCTATGAAATACCTGGACTGCGCAAGTCCATGGAGACAGATTGTGTGTTGGGCTGCTAACCACAAGGTCGGTACTGGAACCCACCAGCAACTCCAAGGGTGACAGATGAGGCAGTCTGCTCTAGTGCAGGTTGACATCCTCCCAAACTCTATGGGGCAGTTCTACTCTGTCCTACAGGGTTGCTGGGAGTCACAATCAACTCAACAGCGGTGGGGCTGGGTTTGGGTCTAGAAACAGAAGGTAGGTTAGTGATTGCCAAGGGTTCCAGGAGGGAGAAGTAAGAGATGGACCAGTGATGAAATCAAGCAGACTCTAACAGAATTAAATAAGAAAATGCAAGCAGGACAATCGACATGGCAGACTGGCAACCCACTCTCCCAGGAGACAGGGGCAGAACAATGAATGTCTGAGGTCAAGACTGGAGATCTGGGTTCCCTCTTGGCCTGTGGTCACGGATGCAGAGGCTACACGTGTGTGGCCTTGAGCCAACAACTCCATCCAAGTCTCAGGTTTTCTCCAGCTCAGTTTGCATGGGGCAACTGAGTGTTGAGTGGGCTTTGTGTGGAATCGTGCTTGCTGCTACATTCTTTTGTCAACTGAAATCTGGTCTTAAGACAATGCTAGTAACCTCCTTTTGGCTCTTGTTAATTTCAACTCCAGAATTTCTATTGCTTCCATGCCCTTGCAAAGGATTTTGAGGTCTTTGTTGGTATTATTTATCGGGTGAGACATTGCTCTTATTCTTTCATTCTTTACACCTGGCTTTCTTTAGTTCATTTACCATATTTAAAAGAGCTGACTAAAAGTTCATTTAAAATTTTTTTGTCAGGGTTTTCTCAGAACAGTTTCTATTGATTGCATCTAGTGTAACTTTCATTGAAAACCGAACATTTGGTGGGGGAGAGGAGGGAAAAAAAGAAGAGCTGATCCCAAGGGCTCAATGGAAAGTAAATGTCTAGAAAAGAACGACGGACTATATGTACAAAAATGTTGGATACACTGATGTACGGTTTGTAACAGAGTTGTAAGAGCCCCCAGTAAAATTAATAAATAAATAAAAGAAAACTGAACATTTAAAATAACACGTGGAAACTCCAGAAAGTCAGAGTAACCCAGCCTCTAACAACTGCAGGGTCTGTAGGCGCAATTGTATGGCGATAATATATACAGATCATAGTAAAGTCATAGAGAATTGGAGGGATAGGAGAGAAAGTAAAATCAAGGAGTCAGACACATTTTATGGTAGGTAGCATGCTCACCTCAGCCCCTCTTGGTGGTCCATGTGGAGGTCAGAGACAAGAGGAGGAGAGAGAGAATATATTTCTAAACAAGGTTTATATATGCTTAGGGGGCATGCAAGCCCCCCTGATTACAGGTAACCACATACCTAACAGGAAGGAGTTGTACCGCAGGCAACACAGCAATGGGAGAGGGACAATCTAGGGGTGTATACGCAATAGGAAGGGGAAGGAAGGACTAGGGGTACACATGTGACAAGATGGGCGGATCCTAGATTCAAGATGGCAGCCTAACCTTGATCCTCCTTGAGTTGGCTTGACTTTGTCTCTGGGCTCCCCTTCAGGGAAACAATCACTATCCTTATCCACAGGGCGTGGGCCTCACCTATGGTGGGGCAGACCATGGTGCCTGAGTGCTTTCGATGGCTGATGTCCTCAGGGAGATAACTTCTAAGCAGCTGACCTCACAGTGCTCTAGCAAGAAGGTCCTAGGCTGGGTATACAAATGGGAAACAACCTGGGGAAAATCTTTTTTGTACCCCACACTAGAAATCTGACACTTCCTCCTGCCCATCCCTCCCCCCTTTGCTATGGCTATGTGGTGAAATGAGCTCGGTTATGTGGCCTTTTGCCTTGATGCTTTCAAAAAACAACTTGGGACACTGTCTTAGGCTGGGTTCTCTAGAGAAGCAAAATCAGTGATGCTTATACATGTATAGCTAGAAATAAATTTCTATCAAGAACACAGCACACACAATTGTATAGCACGCAAGTCCATGCCTGGATAGGTTCCAAGCCAGTAGGTCAGATGTTAGACTGGAGCTGTGGGGGCTGATATGCTTAAGGTCGCCAAGAAGGTGACAGGCTGGTGGCTACAGAAGTGAATGAAATCAAATTTGGCAGGTCAGCTAGCAGGATAGTGATGACTCCTGGGATTGGCAGGCCATATGGCTGTGGCCACAAGACAAAGACCTGCGGATCGATGAGGCAAATGCAGAATAGGGACCTAGGCAAAAAACACACACAAAAAAAACAAAAACCATGCAAGCTTTCCCACAGCATCCACTTACATTGGAAGCAGGCCACATTACTGAGGCGATTTATTGCATCGGGGTTGTGACCTGAGTGAGGGTGTTGTATTCTATTCTAATCTTATCCCATTGTGGAGGCTTACAGCTGATGGGCTATGATTACATTGTGTTAGGTCAGGTTGTGGGGGATTGTCAGATGTTAACTGCCACACCACTGAGAATCTTGGCTCAGTCAAGTTGCATAAAACCTATCACAGACATTATGCCCACCACGCTCTGTCAAGTTAGTTACCTATCCCCTAGCTCTTTAGAAAAGCTACTTTAGGTTGCTTTCTACTTTGGAGAGTTGTTCCTTTTGCTCAGGGAGCCAGCCTCTGCAGGTTTGTCACTTTTGTATAGGACCTGAGTTGGTTGATATCTCATGAGATAATAAATCTTCTTAAATGATTGGTTGGGTCAATCTTGCAAGGGATTGGCCAATTCAGTCTTCCAATACCAAAACCAAAGCATTGCCATTGAGTGGGCCCTAATTTATAGTGACCCTATTCAGGGTTTCCGAGGCTGGCGATCTTTAGGACAGACAGTCTTATTGTGCTCCTGCAGAGTGGGTGTTGTGTTCTGAACCGCTGACTTTGCAGTTAGCCAACCCTGACTCCAAAGCACTGGGCTAAGTGACTCGAATATCCATCCAAAAAGGTTCAATGAAGAGATCGGGCCATTTGCGGTCCTGTTGGGAGTGCCACATCTTGACATTGACAAGGAGTTTGCTCATACAAGCAACTCACTCTACAGAGGCTTTTTGAGGCAAGGAGCGAGGGTCAAGACCAATCAGAGTTTGAACTAAAGCAGTCTGGACTTGTGGGTCCCATGAGGGGAACAACCTAAAAAACAGCTGTACTAGTGAAGATGAGGAATCCAGCAGGGGGTTGGTGATAAGAGACCAAGAAGGAGATCCAGGGGCAAAAAATCAGTCAGCAGTGAGTGGCCTAGAAGTGTGCCTAGTGACTGAGTGGGTAGTAATAAGAAAAAGCTGTTGCCAGGAAAGCAGATAAGAGAGCTGAGCAAGCCAGGTGTAAGGCATCATCAGAACAAAAAATCTTACCATAGTGAATGATGGGGGGAGTGCAGAGTGGAGATCCAAAGCCCATTAGTAGGCCACTGGAGATC